CCCTGACTTCAAATACCACAGTGGACTTTTCGGGGACCCAGAGACTCGTTTCTGACCTGGCTGCTGTTGGGGTTGCTCTGAGTGATAAGACTGAGACCGCTCTGCTCTAATGGATCCCAGTCAACAGTCGGCTACCTAAAATCAGACTACTAGGTTCATCTAAATAAACGCCGAGCTGTTAAGCGTGCCTTATTTGTCGCTATTGTCACACGAAGAAGATTGTACGGTGAGCATAGCGCTCGGGTCTTGCATGCGGATTTCCAATAAGTTGCAGATATCATTCGACTGGGTCCGGGCAAGTGCCGCCTGTTGGCCAATGTATAACGAAGTACGCACGTTTAGACATGCCAGTTTTAGCTAGGATCGATGGCTCCAGATAGAAACTAGTGTGCTGGTATTATTCGCTTCATTGAACATGGACTTGTCGACCCGACCGGATTGACGCCGTGCGATTGTGTGTGGATCGAAATTGGAAAACTAGCTGCTATTGAAGCAAGATGTAAGAGGCCCACGAATTGGAGGGTTATAAATAGTGAAACTGGATGGGGAATGAGACGATGGGCAGTCCCAAGTAGTAGCATCCTCACTGCTATCCACCCTGATCGATGTAGCAGATTGAGCTCCGCTGATTATCTTCTTCGATGCCCAGAGCATCAAGAGATTGTATGGAGGGGAGGTCACTGTATTACGTATGCAGGATACTGCCAGGTTATCCAGGTGTACACAGGTGAACAATTAGGGTTCTCAACCAAATCTTTGGTCCAAAAATGCCTGACCACAATGCAGCGCAGTTTTGGCGGTGAGCTACGGAGAGTCCGTTTTAAGAAATAAGGAATCACCATCACTCTAACCCCAACCTTGAGGGCCAGGTAACTGAGTTAATCTAGCCTCTGTCCACTGACCAATTCAGTATGAGTGGCTCTCAAGGTGCAAAAGCACCACCCAACATAGCTCAATGGATCGTTGGAGCACATAAACCATGATCGCGAACACCATATCTATCGTCCTACCGCCCGAACGGAATCCGCATTGCTTTTTGCTCACTTGGTCTAAGGACCTGAGTGACGGGGTAGTTGATCAGAAGCCGAGCAATCACCCTCCCAGCGCAAATTAGCAGGTTGATGTCACGGTAAATGTCAGCATATCGCTTGCTCCCTTTGATCCTGTTCTGTCACAGAACATGGGAATTATTCAGCCCAGTTGGCAGCGGTTTTTCAAGCTACACACTTTCCACCAAGTGGTGCATTGCATGTATAATTGCGAGTCCAGTGTTTTTCAGTACCTCTGATGTTATCCCATCGGCTCCGGTATACTTGCCACTTCACATCTGAGATGCGCTCGTTCATGCATCATCGGGTTGTCGACAAATTCCTCTGTCGTATTCTGTTGTTGCGGCACCTACAACTTATCCAATTCAATCTGAACGGTTGTTCAATAGACAGTCGAGATGATTGTATCATGTCTGCAGTTTGTGCGCACCCGAGGTAGCTTTCACCCGCGTCCTCATTTGCTGCAATTTAGGTCCATACATCGCCTTTAGAGAGTCTTGGAACCCCTTGTGTTGGCGGCGTTCAGCGTTGCATTTCATCTGCTTTGCTTTTTCTGCCAACCATGCATTCTTAATGCGACGTCGTTCCTGCATCACACGTCTACGCAATTTGTAGAACTTGCTCTCCTTATCTGAATCGTTACGATTCCTTTCATGCTCAGCAGGATTTGTATTCTTCTCTGATACCAATGCTCTATTGGTCGCACTGTTCTCATCAAACCAATCGGGCCGCTTACAGTTTGCGCGCCTGATTATTTCTACTGCCGTAACGGTCATCTGTTCTTTGATGTGGTACCACAGTCTCGGAATCAACGGAGTCAACGTTGCCCAGGCGGGCCATCATCGCCTACTCCAATTCACTACCATTCTCATTGTTACCTAGATTGCGAATAGTAAATTTCCTCGATTCAGGCCGGGGGAGCAATACATGGTTTAACGAAGGTATATGTACAATTTGGTCAGCAGCAACTAGTGGTCAGTGCCACACACACACAGCTCCAAGCAGTACACGTATCATGCACACTTCCCGCATGCCACGCTGGCAGATAATGGCATAGTCGAGGAGGTGAGCTTGATTACTCCGTTTGCACACGGTGCAAACTGTGTGTACGTGATTGTCAGGCCATGAGTGACACAGATGTTCACCGCGTTCACGTTTTTTGAGCCAATACCGTGCGGTACCCCTGGCTTGCCGGCTAACATCCGCGTAACAAGACTGATCCGACACTGCACCAGCTTTTACTAACAGCGGGGAACTGCTCTAGTTATGCCGCCGGGTTTACTCCTTTATCTTACTCTACCACCCTTGGTGGTCGAATCGCTGACGGCTATCTAAACATATTTCTGAGTGATTCTTTGGTCAATTGCTGACGGCGGGTAGTGAACTTTGATGCTGTGGCCGATGTAACCGCATGCATCTGTGACTTGGTCACTGGACACTAAAGACCTCTGTAGACTGGTCAATTTTGGATCGCCAATTCCTCTCATGCACTGCCCACATATGCTAAGTGTAACCATAGGATAATACTGCAGCTCGTTTTGTGTTTAAATGACGCGTTTGTTGTTGCTAACCTGTATACGCTGGATAGGCTATGCTCTTCGCACGTCTACTGACCGACTGCCTCTGCGTTTATTGTTCTCAGTGCTGCGCTTCGGTTAAGAGAAGGCAAACGAGTGCGCAGAAATCTGCAAAAACGGAGTCCTATTGTTGGTTGCATTCTCAGTTGGCGTTCGGCAACTTACCGCTTGTCTACCCTATCGAATATGGTATAGTCACAGATTGCATAGAGCTCGTTCTTACGTTTCCTTATTTCTCAACTACTTTATCTACAGCTCCTTGAGGTGTGTCTTCTTCTTGATTTAAGACTTGATGAATATAGCGACAAATTCCAGTTGCTGGATCTGCTGCGGACTTCGGCCCATAGACCGTAGTTATCTGAGCTAAACTGATCCATTGGGTGCTTTTTTACTTACTGGTGGGGGGCATTGTTTCAAGCAGTATTTGACCCGCCCTTCGCCTACATCAGCTACAGCCATAGTTCAAATTCGTTTTTCTCTACTTTTTGCATCTGTGCTCATGGGGGAATAAATGATCCGCTGGATATCTCGCTTCGGCTCAGTTTCGTTATCTACATAGCTGCTGTGCTTTTGCACTACAGAATGTCGTCTCTTTTCGTAGATGTTGTGGCCAATTTGTTTCTTTCACTGGGTCGCGCGATATGAGCCGTGATGCCTTAGTTGAAAGACTCACTCATCATTGCAGCTTCATGAGCAGTGTTTTTATTGTGGCAGTTGACCCGGTGTATCGTTCGTTTTACATGTGTAGATCGCATTGTCCCTATCTCCGGTCATTCGGTAGCGCGATTATTTACAGGCGCCTTCTTCCATGGGCCCTTGTATTACACCGATGTGAATGTGCATCGAATCAACGAGAATCTGTCTATTTGTAAGTGGTAGGGGGATTTATTAGGTTTTTGCGTAGATTCGTCGCAGTTAGACACAGACAGGCAGCCACCACACATCCAGGAAAGCGATAGACGACCGTTTCGTCCTATTGGGACTCGTCAGTAGCGCGCACCCGCCGAATCCTGCCGGATTCGAACCTACGACCTTACTCTTGCGAGTCAGCAACTTATGTCACTGTCCTCTGCACATCACGACATGCAAGACACTGGAGGATGAGCCGCGCTATATCACAGTTAGATATCAGCCATGGCGGTCCGCTGCCGTCGCCCATGGCTCAGTGATATAAGTCGCTGACTCGCAAGAGTAAGGTCGTAGGTTTGAGTCCGGCAGGATTCGGCGGGTGCGCGCTACTGACGAGTCTCAATAGGACGAAACGGCCGTCTAGCGTTTTCCTGGATGTGTGTTGGCTGTCTGCCTGTGTCTAACTGCGACGATTCTACATAAAAACCTAATAAATCCCCCTACCACTTACAAATAATCAGTAGTTGCCTTAGCAGCATACTTGCCACCTCGACTGGTGGCGGCTTGCATAGGAAGTCGTTGCTCTGGGGACCATTCCTGTCCTCTGCACATCATAACATGCAAGACAATGGAGGATGAGCCGCGCTATATCGCAGTTAGATATCAGCCATGACGGTTCGCTTCCGTCGCCCATGGCTCAGTGACATAAGTCGCTGACTCGCAAGAGTAAGGTCGTAGGTTCGAATCCGGCAGGATTCGGCGGGTGCGCGCTACTGACGAGTCTCAATAGGACGAAACGGCCGTCTAGCGCTTTCCTGGATGTGTGTTGGCTGTCTGCCTGTGTCTAACTACGACGAATCTACCAAAAACCCAATAAATCCCCCTACAACTTTCAAATAATCAGTAGTTGCCTTAGCAGCATACTTGCCACCTCGACTGGTGGCGGCTTGCATAGGAAGTCGTTGCTCTGGGGACCATTCCTGTCCTCTGCACATCATAACATACAAAAAAGTGAATCTGTCTGCCTAATATTGTTATGCTTTATACTCAATCGTCACACATGCTCTTGATCACTAGAAACTCTTCTGAACGCGCGTTTGGTACATTCGGTTTTACCAAATATACACTGTACATCCTCATATTTTCTACATTCCAAGTTGCGTTTCTACAATTGCTTTACAACACTGCTGTCCTATACCTTCGTTGCTGAAGCGCAGCACTGCTTTGATCTAGCATAGAATACTAGAGTTGGGAAACCAGAAATGAGTTCCGCTTTTGGGTTCATAAGATGACATAAATGCATGTGTTTTTCGCAACATTAACATTCACCGGTGGCGGTAACTGTCCATTGAGTGCTTTATGTTGCGGCTACCTTTGTTTCGGTCACCGGCCGTACATTCGTTATGCTTTCATTTTTGGCCTTCTTTTTGGTTCTTATCCAAACTTGTTTATTTGGTATATCTCTCATCCGTCTCTTATTTCATTCGCTTTTACCTCGCTTGGCATCCGCATACCCGAATTCCAGCTTCTTGATTCTGTATCAGCAACGTCTGGCGGTGGTTCCTCCGGATCGACACCCTCAAAAGGAACTCGGACGATCAAGAGAAGTAACACTGCTGCAATTTCCGATAACAACGACTGCTCCTGGCCCCAAATCACCGACGAAGCCTCGGCGTCAGTAGCCACCCGAGTTGCCATGGTGCGTCCACTCGTAATTTCACACATTGTACTCATTTTACCTCTGTTTTCGCATCGTTACTTCCTTCCTTGACGAGAACTTGAGGTGCATGCTTCCGAGGACTTTCTTTCTCACCATTGATACGCCGCTGGCACTTTGATCTTCTTTCTCAATGTACTAGTTTTGTGCACCACTTTGAACCTTAAAAACGCGGAATATCGGTAGCTCTGGTTGGCAGTAGTGATTGTTGGTTTGCTTGCTGAGTTGTGCAATGTAGTTGAACTTTACACAGACAACCAACTTGGCATTTTCTCTAGATTTGTCTGGATCTCAGTTACTGCTGGCAAGCTGTTTGTTATTGCGCACTAGAACTGCTATCTCCATTGGTGGCGAGTCGTCTGTAACTACACTGCCTGTTCCCATGAGGAAATCAACACCCCACTTTGTTCTGCTATCGCTCGACTTATTCTACAGCCATACTGGTCAATTTATTAACGTCAGTACACATTTACGTTCTCCATTTGTGTTGTTGGAACTTTTGTTCTAATACGACTTGAAATGGCGGCCGCCTTCTGTCCCGAGACGCTACCTGGGATTTTTTGTCGGCCTATTTCTCATCTTGCGATGGATCTGCATGCAGTAGCTGTCGGAAACTCGGCAGAACACGAATTCATAACCTTTATCCATATTCGTTGCCCCTTTAGACCTTTGTGACTGATTTTTGACTAACGTATTGTCGGTCTTCAACATGTCGCTAGTCACCTGGCATGCTCCCGTTAGTCTCGATGCATTCTTCGCGATTTGCCCGCTTACACCGCTCATTCAAGATCCGTTGTCCCTATCCTCTAGCAGTAAAATTGCTAATATTTAACTCTCCTATGATTTGCTCATAGTTCACAACTCTTTTGCCTCAGAAGCCATCATGTTTACATGTACCAGAATCGAAATCTCTTTCTACAGTAGCATTGCAGGCTGGGTTACAGGTCTCATGCATGCTTCCCGTAGCTTGCATTTTCAACCATCCCAATTCCGATGTTGAGGGCAATTTCATGCTGACTCTGCCGTTTTCTGTATGCATATCATTCATGTTCCGTTGGGACAATATGATAGAAGCATTAGCAGCGCACTGGCACATCGTACTGAAGCTTCGCTGCCATACGGCAACTCAGTCGCTCTTGGGGTGAGTGTACCGCCAGATTGCCTGCGGATTCGAACCGAAGACCTTTAGCTCACAAGTTAGACAGTTTCGGCCACCGTCCGACGTAACGCAAAATCGACTGTTCGAGTGCCACTCGTCGACGGTTAGTTCTACCGCCACTGCTTCTAGCGTATCGGTGTGTAGTTCTGTTCAACCAACTTAGCTTCGTCTTCGCTACGGTTGTATCAGTGCGTCGACCAACCATCAAATTGATTGTAATGCATAACTTCTGTGATGGTTATAAGAGGATGGAGAATGAAGGTGAATACAAAGCGGAGCTGTTTTCGATTTACAAGTTTGCTTGGGGTTGCAAGTTATGGACAACGCTAACCCCAATGTGAATTTGGAGGATTCCGATTTCCTGTGTTTCAAATGACATGCCTCAGCATCATCATCATCAACAGCAGTACATCAGCCATTTGAACTGATACTTCGCTGCCATACAACCATGAGGACCTATGAAATAAAGAATAAGAAGAGGGAGAGAAGGGGGACTTACCTTAAAACCTTAGTTCCCTAAGCAAACATTCAGGGTCAAGGCGCCTACACCTTGTGTAGACAACATTCCGTCACAAACAGCTGGCTATCGTGCAAAGATAAGGCGGCATCGGCGAGACAGCTTCTTTGCGGCTTTCACTGCCACGCGTCATAATCAGCCATTACCCCGCAGATAACTCAGCACCAAACACACTTTAAACAGACAATCCGATTAGGAGACGGCAGCAGACGCGCCACTGGTGTCGGTTGCGAGCCAGGTCCTGTAAAGTCTCGAGCCAAGCACAAAGTGAGTCACGTGGACTCCAACCGGGAAGGCGAGACGGACCAACGGCACCCAGTTTGGTCGTCAGTGACTTCACTTCCCGCTGCCAAGTCAACTTCTGTCCACCTTGAGCCTTGCGCCATCCTACACCTGGTAGACTGAACAAGGCCCTCGTAGGTAAGCGGTGACCAGGCATACGTAGCATGTGCCCCAGCCAACGTAACTTATTCAGTGCTATCTGCTGTTCTAGGGAGCTAGCATGATTATCACCACCTAGTACTCACCTGCGCACCTCATCGTTGCGGACTTGCTGGTGCCATCCGACACCAGCAATGCTTCGCAAACAGCGATGATCAAAGACTTGAAGGCGTCTCAGATCTTCAGACCGAAGGGGCCAAGTCTCACTACCATAGAGCAGAACGGCCCTCACTGTGGCCTTGTGTACACAGCCTTTCAGACGGAGGGTAACTCCCTTCTGTCGCCAAAGATGACGCAGGTTCAAAAAGGCAGCTCTGGCTTTTGCGATGCGTGAGCTCACGTCAGTTTCTATGCTCTCATCATTGCTGATGCAGCTGCCAAGATAAGTGAATTGATCAACCACCTCGAGTTCCTCGTTATCAAGCGTCAAGGGGTAATCAAGTGGCTGGTGGTCCTGCAGCAACACTTTGCACTTTGAAGGTGCGAAGTGCATACCAAATAATGGGACCACTCTGGATAGGCTATTCAGGGTTGATTGTGCCGCCTCAACATTGTCGAAAAGCAAGACGATATCGTCCGTATAATCTAGATCAACTAACCGTTCACCAGGCAGCACTTCAATGCCTACATCGTGAAATTCCGCAAGCGAACACTCCATGATAGAATCCACGACGAAATTGAACAAAAATGGGGAAATCGGACAACCCTGTCGAACGCCACTTGTAGTCGGAAAGCTACCCGATAGGACACCATAGACCCTGTCGCGGCCTGTAGTGTTCGAGTATAGAGCACGAAGGATGTTCACATATTTCGTGGGAACACCTTTCAGCGCAAGTATTTCGAAGAGAATCGTTTGATCGACTGAATCGAGCGCACTCTTGAAATCGAGGAACACAGCTATTGTCGGTCTGCGGTATGCGTGGCGCTGCTCTAGCACCAGCCGCAAAGTAAATATATGGTTTATACAGCCTGGGCGAAAACCGGCCTGCTCTTCCGTAATCCGAGATTCCCGTTCTGCAGTGAGGCGACGAACGAAAATGGAGGCCAGTAATTTTGTCACAACTGGCGTTAGGCTAATACCCCTGTGGTTCGCACAGTCTGTGCGGCTGCCCTTTTTGTATATTGCCACTATAATCGATTCGCTCCAATTAGCCGGCGCACTCTCTTCGTTCCAGATACGTTCGAATAGGGAGGTTAGTGCTTTGCAGAGGACCTCACCTCCATCCTTAAATAGTGCAGGTGGAAGGGAATCCGCGCCAGCGGCACGAAAACGATTGAGGGCTGTGATCGCGTTTCGGACCTCGGCCTCTGACGGAGACTCTAAACTAACCGTCCATGGCACATCCTGCATCACCTGAGTAGGAAGAAGTCCAGGAGCAGGGGGCCAGCTGAACTGATCTTCAAAGTGTGCAGCCCAACGAGCCATACGGCGCTCCTTATTGTGTATCAGCGCACCCGCGCTGTCCCTGATTGTCTCACTGACGCCTGGTTTTCTGGGACCAGTGGTACGAATTAGCTGGAAGAGCTTGCGGTAATTGCCTACTGCTCCTGCCTCCTCCATTCCTTGAGCCCTACTGGTCCACCAGGCTTCCTTGTCAGCACGTAGTCTCCGCTTTAGTTCACGCCTAATAGCCCGTCTGGTCACATTGTGTTCAGAACCAGCCGGGAGGTGTCTTCTGGCTTCCAACAGGTTCACGGACCTCTCGGATATCCAGTGACTGGTGCGATGACGACTGATAGTGCCACAAACAGATGCTCCTGCGTCGTGCATAGTGGCCGAGATCCTATTCCACTGAAGTTCAGTGTCATTAGGACAAGTCAGCGGAAGTTCGATACGCAGCGCCTCTTGATAGGCTTGCCTGGCCGAGGACTGAGACAATTTCTCATTTGCTAATCGTAGGGGACGCTTGGTGCGCCTCCCGATAAAGTTCATGGAGAAACGACAGCGCACCAAGGCATGACCAGAGTTGACACAGGTACTCCAGTACGAGCGGCAATCCAGGATGGAATTACGCCACCTGTAACTTATGGCTATGTGGTCAATTTGGGTCCATCGCTGGCCAGCTACAGGTGGACGCCAAGTGGCACTTCGGCGCCCACTGTGTCTAAAAGCAGTGCTACTAAGAAACAACTGGTGATGCGCACACAGTTGCAGCAGACGCTCGCCGTTGTCAGTCCGTTCGGAGTTAAGTCCATATTTACCACCCAGCTGAGCTTCTGAAGAGCACAGACGCCCTACTTGTACGTTCATATCCCCTGCAAGTACTATAATATCTGAACTAGTAGTGCTGCGTAGCAGCGTGTTCAGTTCGTGATAGAAAGTGTCCTTGACTGCATTAGAACAGCAGTCGGTGGGAGCATAAGGAGAAATCACGAACAAACAGCGTTTTGTTACTTCGTGAATTCACCTTAGCTGATGTCGTCAAACGGGCTGCACATAAACGGCTGTTCACTGGAATCCAATCAACCAACGATGACTCAGCCTTGGAGCTGAGAATGATACCTACACCAGCTTGACCTGTGAGTGCCGCATCGGCGTCTCCGGATGCGTGCAACCAATAACCAGAGGATAAGCCGGGTACAGTCACTTCAATAACCCCGTTAGGGTCATTAATCCTGGTTTAGGACACACAACACACATCAACACCCAGTGTGTCCAAGGTGCGTGCGAGTGCAGCCTGCTGACCTGTTTGTCTTAGAGTGCGGACGTTGAATGTCGCCATGGAAACGGGACAGCGTGGTCTTATAAGGGACTTTTGCCGATAGGCGTCCGATAAGTGCTGTGGGAAGGTGACTGCAGATGGTACTACTCCAGTAGCACTTCGGTTACTGTCAATTAAGCTGGGCATTATAGAAGGAAGGTTA